AGTGCCACTATTGATTGAATATATATGTTGAAACGAACAAACGGGTCTCTCTGTCTGCCTGTGTGTTTGCGTCTTGGTGGGGGCGTGGCGGGTGTCTGTGTCTGTGTGGCCGGATGGATGGAGTGGTGTACTTGAGTGTCTTTGTTGCGCCGCGGGCAGGGCTCCCTCCCTCTCCCTCTACCTCTCTTGCCTACGCCCGCGTCTGTTGAGTGCAATACGTGCCAGTCCATTGAGTCCGTGACACAGACAGCCAGACACGCAAACAAACAGACAGACAGACAGAGGGGTGCCGTCCCATTGTAGCTACCCATACAGACAGACGCCCACACGCCCGTATGCCACACCACGCCACACCATGCACCGAACCAGCCAGGCAGCCGCTCGAGAGGCATTGGGTGGATGTCGTCTGTCTGGTGTGTATGTGTGTGATGTGAATGGTGTGGTGTGTCGTGTTGTGCTGTATTGTATTGTATTGTATTGTGCTGTGCTGCATAGGACGTTCCTTCCTTCATGCGCGCGTGTGTGAATGGCTGGTTGGCTTGCCTTGCCCTGCCTGTCTGTCTGCGTGGATGGATGGATGGATGCCTGTTTGCTTGTGCCGTTTGCTTGTGATCTGGGTGTCTGGCTGTCTTGTTGTCTTGCTAGTATTTCTCGACTTCTTTGCTTTGATTGGATGTGTCTGACTAACGTTTCTGGACATGTCAACAATAATGTTTCGGCCGCCTGATAAGTATGATTCGCGTTGAGGTCAACGAAGACAATGTTGCATTGCCAACCACACACAGGAAATATGGGCAGCAAATCATAGTCATGGTCAGCGGAACACCACGTGTAGACGCATCCATGTCCCTACCGACGATACTGTACACACACATCCTGCCTGCCTGCCTGCCTGTCTGCCTGTCTGCCTGCCTGTCGATGGATCGATCTTTCTGCATGCATCTCGGCTCCATCGTCGGACCACGCCGCATTCTGTAAGTGCCCCCGACCGACAGCAGCAGACGGCCGGCGGATTTGTCTGTCGTCATGCTGGATCTCTCCACAAGTTGGTGGACTTCTTGTCCGTGTCGACGCCGTGCACCACTATGCTGCTCACCACGTTCACACATCACATAGACACAGACACAGGTGTCAAGCCGCTGGTTTGCCTTGTGTGGTGGATCGCTTCTCTCACCTGAACGCAGCGCTGCCGAGGACGGCCGTGGCGAAAAAGTTGGCCGACTCACGACCAACTACCGAACTGCACACACACACACACAAACACACCGGACTACACACCAGACAACCCCACTTGGAGACCATTCGTCTGTGTGTGAGTGTGTGTGTGGGGGTTTTCTCCCTCACACGAGTGCGCCGGCCACAGCCCCTCCAGTGCCGGCGTCCAGCGGGTAGGGCACCCCGATGCGCCGCAGAGCACATGACATGAACGACGTCACAACTGAGCCAACGCACACAACCGTCCATCAAACACACAGACAATCCGACAATAAAGCAGCCTGTCTTGTCTGCAGTGCGTCTGTGTGTGTTTGGCTGTTGGATGGACAGATGACTTACAGCACCAAGATCCGAAGTACAGGGCGGTCTTGCCCGTCAGCAGACTCCGACGGCCAATCCACCGCACGCCGCGCAACACTGACGAGTGTGGGTGGATCTTGCCCGAAGAGGGCGGCCGAGATGATGACACGCCTGCACTCGGCTGCTGATGAGTGGGAGTGGCATTGCTGCTGCTGCTGCCAGGTTTGCGCTTGGGTGTGTGGAGTTCTTTGGCGAATAGAATGCCGAAGACTGTGCCCGATACGATGCCGCGGAAGAAGGACTCGACGCTGCCGTCCAGACAGGCCACCTCGGGCGGCACCACCACCAGCGACATCGATTCTATGGATAGACGATGAAATGAGAGGAGGAGATGAGATCTCAACTCACTGCCAACTTCTCACTGCCCGCTGAAGGACGGACAATGTCATGTTGATGATCTCTTCTCAGGTCACTCTTCGTGTCTACACCTCCCCAGGGATTTGAGCTCGCGGGCAGACTTGCAGATCTGACTCATCTCAGTGCCGCGTGACACCGAGGGCCATGGCCTGAGCGCATTAAGCAATCGTCTGTTGAAGTCATGGGTGTTGTCCGCGACGGCGTGGCGACCTTCTTGGCGCCCCGTCTGCGGCAGATCTCCCTCCTGGTGGCCCTCGCAGGCGCCATCTGGCTCAGCATGTTCGACGCATTCGACAGACCAACAGTCATCGAAGAGCACGGCCTCGTCCCGGGCTATGCACAGCACGGCTTCAGCACATCACACAGCAGCCAGCAGCTGGGCGCCATGAGGCAAGAGCTAAGAGAAGCGACGGCTGACGGATCATCTTCAAGGTCATCGTCTCATGCTGCTGCTACTGGTGCTGGTGGTGGTGGTGGTGGTGGTGTGGCGGGGCACCTGCAGTCGGCCCTTGAGCAGTCGGGCCTGCCTGCCTACAACATCAGCTGGAGCTGCTTCGATGGG